CGCTGAGCCACCCAGGGATCCCCAGGAAGTGTTTCAAATGTATACTCTGCTGTTGTGTTTTGATTGCCTTTACCCTCAGGTCAGTCCTCTGAAGAGTTTCTCCTTGCCTGCAGTGGGGAGTGTTTGGACCTTGTCCTTTGTGTGGCATTTTAACCAGGTGTGCTTTGATCTGTTTGTTAAAATAAGCCTGATCCTATTTCTACTAGAGCTCAAGCTCTAGCACCCTGTCATCAGTGGACTTGGTTTGTGCAGGGAGTTTGTGCTGGCCTTCTGGGGATGGGTATGCTCCGCTGGTTCTCAGGCTGACTTGCCCTAGTAAAGATGCACCTGCAGAGCACAGGAAGTGCGGGACCTGGTGTCAGTGGCTCCAGCCTCCGCTGGGCACACTGTGTTGTTCACTGAGATCTGTCAGTGCTGATGGGGGTGGAGGAGATGCACAAGTCTCTCATTCCCCGAGCAGAGCAGGGAGTTCACGCCCACCACTATTCAGGAAGCCCTCACAAAAGAGCAAATAATCTCCCCTCTTATGCCCTTGGCTTCTGTCAGTTACCTGACTTTATCCTACCTGTGTCTGGGCTATCTGTCTGCTAGGCAGCACTCCTGTGCTTTATTTCAGGCATGTTGCTGGATTTCCAAACTCCAAATTTTAGATACCCACTGCTGTGTGCCCCTGGGCTGATCTTCTGAGGGAAGGTCTTGCCATGCTGCGGGTAGTGCTAGTTTGTCCCAGGAAAAGCAGTCACATGATCACACAGGGGCTCAGAGTTTATGGTAAAGTGCAGCAAAAAGCCTGCACTAAGCTTTGCTGCCTTCAGGAGGTGTTTCTGATTCTATGCTACTAAATGGGGCAGGTGTTTGGCACCTGCCAGCTCTTTTGTCCCCTGAGAAGTCATGCTACCTCTCCCAAATGGCTCCAAGAAGGGAAACCTTCTCTTTCAGTGGGACCCAGGGGATCCTCAAAGCACATTGTCTGCTCCCAGGTGGCCTCTGCCCTCCTTCCCCATGGGAGCACCGTGATGCCCACCAGCCTCCACTTGGCAGTGGCTCCGACTGCTTAAACTTCAGACTTTGAGCTCCACTGCTTGTAAAAACTTGTGATAATGGGTTGCTCTAGTTTTCTCAGTCAGTGGTTTCGGGGAAGTATTTCTTCTGTGCAATCTCCTGCACAATGCTTTCTATTTCTCTCTCTTGCTCTTGCTGTCTCTTCACTTCATGATCAAGGATCCCTCCTCTCCGTAGTACCCATGAGTCTTTTCTCTCCGGAATCACCTCTCTGTAACTCGTATCTTCTACATTGTGACTTTTCTCCCTCCAGTCCTGCAGTTTGTTCTCTCAGCATTCTGATCAGTTTCTTGGGTGTTTGAATGATTTGGGTCCCCTACTGCTCTGCCATCTTAACTCCTATTCTGTTTTTCCAAATATATATATATATATATATATATATATATATAAAATTTTAGTTCCAGTATACTTACTATATGATATTGAGGGCTCCAAGATTCTTGCTGCTCATGTTACTCTATATGAGTAGGGGCAAGTGAAGATTTTACCTGCCTTATGATATACATATACATATGTATATGATGATATTACCTGCCTTATGATATACATATACATATGTATATGATGATATACATATATACATATACATTCACATATAATCCACAAAGTAATGGAGGATTGGTGTTTTTCTCATACTGTTAACAAGTTTAGCTCTTGAAGTAATTGACTTAGGATTTCAAATCTTGAGGTTCAAAGATATTTAGGTGTCATTTGGACCAACTCTGAGTTTTAGCTTGGTAAAATAGCACCACATTTAATGAATTTATGTCAGATCACATGATGAACTAGTGGAGGACAGGACCACTAGGACCCATGTCTTCAGTTTCTTTTTCCTATACCCCTCTTGGAAAAGATGACATTGGCAAATAAACCATTCTCTGGCCATACTAGAATTACTGTTGGCCAAAATAACTGAGTTCTGGTTGACTCCCACTCTTGAGTCTTCAAATAATATTTTAAAATTTCTCTAGTAAAGGAAAAATTAAGCTCTCTGAAAATTTGACTGTGATACAAATTTCAGCATTTTATTCATTTCATAAAATAATCTGAAGTTATGAAATTGAGAGACCCAGAATTCTTAGTCTATGTTTGAGTCATTTAAATGGCACTAATTAATTTAAAAATGAATATTAAACCCTTTACCCTTTAAAAAAAAAACAACCCTCTAAAGCCAGAGATAGGAGAAACTGTATTCAGAAGAGCAAGACACTTAGATGAAAGCCCATACCTGCTTTATCTGTCATTATCAAACATGATAACCATATATATCCTTTTGATTAAATCTAAGAAGTTGAATAATTGTGTTCATGAAAATTTAGCATTTTGTTAATTCTTTGATATAGTAATAGAAACAGTTCCTGATGGAATGTTAAATTATTTTTCCAGTTAGGTAAGTCTTATATACTCCTTCTAGAAGATATTGGGAGAAAATGAAGTTTTTGTAGAGTTTATGTCAACCAAACTATCCTACTATTCAAAGATAACCGTTGTTAAAATGTTGGGATATTTGTGTGTGTGTGTGTGTGTGTGTGTAACATTTTTTATTCCTGTTACAATAGGAATGTATGTTCATCATAGAAAGTTTAGAGGCTATAAATAATTAGAAGAAAATGAAAACCACAATTTGAGAACTGCCTCAATAAATATACCATAATGAGAAAAATATTCTTTCTCTACCTTTGAATATTTAGGTTATTAGTGCATAATATTTTAAGCATATGAATAATACTTTGGATATGTAGAAATAGCTCTCAGGTTTTAAACCTGATAAGAAAAAATAAGAAAAAATAAGTATGCTGTGTTTTGATTTCTCATATTTGGAGAGTTTCAGGATTGCAGTAATCAATAATTTGCAGAGGGTTTAATGAACTTAAGAAGGACCCCTGAGTTTGGCATAGGGGGAGGAGTGAGAAGCAGCCAGACTATAGGGGCTGAAGAAGTTAGGGAAGAATGGTAGCACATATAGACCACTTGTGTATACCATGTGTCAACAAATAGCAGTCGAAAAATGAGAATAGCTTGGAGCAGGGTTCTGAATTTAGGTACCAAGTTCAAAGAAACATTGTTTTGGTGATGAGTGAATATTTATGAAAATTTTTAGTGAGTGATGAGAGAACTGATGGAGAAATAAATTCATGATGCTATGATGCTATGAGGTAATCCTAGTATCTCCATTCCAGGCTTAGTTTAAAGATATAGTTCACTTAGGGACTTCTGACCTGCATTTGGATCATAGGACACTTATAGTCACTAGGCTTTCATTCAGCAAGTATTTAAAGAGCTGCTCGTTAAGTCTGAGTGCCGAGGAGACAACCATAAACCTTAGACAGCAGAACTAAAATGTGGTTCCTTCCAGGCCTAATAAATGAATCTTCTGCTGGTGGCATGAGAACTCTTTCCTCTTTACCATTAGAAGTCATCTTGGGTCTATCTTAAGTCACTTTCATGGGCCCTGATTTTGTTGTTGTTGTTAATAGTGTGGTTTTGGTGATTTCTGCCTTTTGATTTTGAATTCTTGCTCTGTACTTACAAGTTATGTAATCCTGAGTAAGTTACTTAAACTGAATCTTCCACTCTGTAAATAAGCATAATAAAAAAAATAAAATAAAAAAATAAAAAATAAGCATAATAATACCTATTTAGAGCTGTGAGAATTACGTGGATAATAAATGTACAGTATGAACCTTAATACCTGGTTTCAATAAAATGTTGGTTATTGTGGTGGTGGTGGTGGTGGTGACAAGGATTCCTTGGGTGCCTGATTTGGTGCTTTCTACTTAGTTCTGTCCAGTTAATGTGATATGGCAAAAACGAGAGATAGACATCAGGAAACTAAAGGTTGATTGATTTGGAGTGGATGGGATCAGAACAAGATGCACCAAGTCCCATCCATTGTTGGAAATAGGTCTCCCAAGCGAGTGATGGTTTTTGGAAAGATAACATGGTTTCATGGAAAAAAATATTACACTGTCACTAGTCTTGAATTTCAGTTTGAGGTCCTAAGTCATTTGTTATTAAAAGAGTTAATACATGTGAAGTACCTAGAACAGTGCCTGTTATGCAGAAAGTACTCTGTTAATGTTTCTGTTGTTACAAACTGTTATTCATTCATTCATTTGTTCGTTCATTCATTCATTTATTTTTCCCATAATCTAACAAATATTTAGTGAGAGCCTACTAGCTGCCAAGATGCCTACTAGATGTGCTGAGTACAGGGTGAATTAGATGAACAGTTGCTATTTTGAAGATAAGATTCTAGCAGAGGGGAGATCTGCTATTCTTGGTCAGGTCTCTAAGCCCTTCTGGGTCTTAATGTCTTCATCAGTAAAATAAAGTTTGGCTGTAAAATCTTACAGTAGGATCATCTGATGACACTATTTTCCTGACTGAATATATACTAATTACTTATTTATATATTAAAATTTATTGATACCTACCATGTATAGGTACTGTGCTAGGTGATAGGAATATAGTAGTAACCAGAGCAGACACTGCATATGCCTTCATGGAGCATTGAGTTCAATGCACAAGGTACAGACTGGTTGACTAGGTAACGTGAGCTTGATTAGTGTTAAAGAGAGAAAAATGTGGGGATTTCTGGGTGGCTCAGGGGGCTCAGCGGTTTAGCGCTGCCTTCAGCCCAGGGCATGATCCTGGAGACCCTGGATTGAGTCCCACGTCGGGCTCCCTGCATGGAGCCTGCTTCTCCCTCTGCCTGTGTCTCTGCTTCTCTCTCTCTCTCTATGTCTCTCATGAATAAATAAATAAAATATTTAAAAAATAAAAGAGGGAAAAATGCTCGGCTTGTGTTACAGATTTATGTAACAGAAACAAAATATATGTATATATTACTTTTGATAGAAGGGCCATTATAAACATTAACCTGTATTTTTTCCCTCCCATTTTGTGAATTTAAATTTTCTTGTCTGCTTAAACAGGAGCAGCTGGGCATCATGGAGACAACTTGGTAGAGAAGATTATTTCAGTGCTTCCCCAGCTTCCAGGCCACACCAACGATGTGATGGTTAACATGGTGGAACTTACGGCACTCCAGAATGAGGAGAAAAATCAGAGTATGATTGCACCAGGCTGTCTTGCACAATCCAAGTAAGATATACAGCTTTTTTCTTTTTTCTCTCTCATCCTTCTCCCTCTTCCCTTTCCTTTTTCTCTGAGGTGAACTGTTTCTGTAAGGAAGGAAATGTTGAAGAGTTGGTGTGGTTGAGAAATTCACAGTGGATGACATTTAGAAAAGAAGCATCTTTCCCTGCTAACTTTGAAATAACTATATCCATTAAACAACAATAAGCCAAAAAAGTATGGAGGTGTCATTTATAGAAGTGTCATTTTGATGTAACATAAGTTTGTTCTGAGAATTGGTTAAGTGAGTCAATTTATATGTCTCCATCCCACACATGGTTTCACATGGAATCGAGTCCAGGCTTACTCAATTTCTTTTTCCCAGTGGGCTTTTTCACATGATTAAATAATTGCCCACAAAGCTATGAAACAGTGCCATGTTTCTGCATGTAAACAATATGCTCTGGGACATCAATGAGAGAAGTTTTTATTTCTGCGTGTATGTTTCACATGCTTAGAGAAGTCAGTAAAAGAAGATGATATACTTTATGTTATGCAGAGTTTCAACAATAGAACATTTCTCCAGAGACATGACAATAAGCTAATAATAGTTACCTCCTTTACTTTGTCCTTCATCAATAATTCTTTTTTTTTAAGATTTTATTTATTTATTCATGGGAGATACAGAGGGAGAGGGAGAGGGAGAGGGAGAGGGAGAGAGAGAGAGAGAGAGAGGCAGAGACACAGACAGAGGGAGAAACAGGCCCCATGCAGGGAGCCCGATGTGGGACTTGATCCCAGGACTCTGGGATCATGCCGCGGGCTGAAGGCAGGCGCCAAACCGTTGAGCCACCCAGGGATCCCCCTTTCATCAATAATTCTTATGAGAAAAAAAAGTATTAGAAGGTGAAAAGTATCTATTTCCCTTATTTCTCTGTTGTTAGTTTTTAAACAAAACAGGACTTTTTGTATTATAGTTTCAAATCTAACTGGTAACAGATATATTTGGAATTTCCTATCATATCTGGAATTGATTTTCAGCTTTTAAAGTTTTCAACTCTTTTTTTTTTTTTAAAGGTAGTTTATACCATTTATTGAGTGCCTGGAGTGTATGGGCCAGCATGGGATGAAAATGGGAAGTTCTGTACCCTGTCTTTTCTGTATACGTATGCACACAATAAAAACATAGGCCATGAGCTCACTTTAGTAGCACATATACTAAAACATAAGACCTGTGGGCTTGCAGCTATACAAATTTGAAAGTTAATTGTGACTAGAAACATTTTTAGCTGTTCAGAGGGCCATTCAAAAGTTACTTATCAAGGATTTACCATGAGTCTTCTCTGGAGTAAGTAATATGAAGGACACAGGAAAATATCAAGTATCATTTCTGCCTTCAGCAACGACTTTTCTTGTTTGGGCAGTGCTTTGTACACACTGTTCAATGAAAAAACAACAGAAATTACATGAACTCAAGACTCAAGTATCTGTCACAGATTATAAATCCTACAAAGTATCAGATCAACAAGGTCTCTGTAGATCAATGTAGTCCTTGTGGAAGTGTTGACGTTTGACTTGATTATGTCTTGAAGAGAAAGAGAAGGCCTAACATGAACATAGGTATGGAAACAAGAATGGTCAGGGCCTGATATGATGGGGTGTGAGGAAGAAAGACAGCCTCGCTGAACCACCAGTGCTATCATCACATTTCTTTTTTTTTTTTAATTTTTTTTAATTTTTTTTTAAATATTTTTTTTAAATTTTTATTTATTTATGATAGGCACACAGTGAGAGAGAGAGAGGCAGAGACACAGGCAGAGGGAGAAGCAGGCTCCATGCACCGGGAGCCCGACGTGGGATTCGATCCCGGGTCTCCAGGATCGCGCCCTGGGCCAAAGGCAGGCGCCAAACCACTGCGCCACCCAGGGATCCCTATCATCACATTTCTTAGAACTTAACCACATGCCAAGCGTACTTCCAGGTACTTTATATTTGGGAAGTCATTTAAATTTTCTGATAACCTAATGTGGCAGGTGTAGTGTTTCCCCGACTTACCAGTAAGGAAACTGAGCCAAAGAGACTTTAAGTAGCATGGTTAGCAGGAGGTAGAGCTAGGACTTGAGCCCAGAACGTTAGGCTGCAGAGCTACATTCTTGATTTCTGTGCTATATATGCAAAGGCCAGATAGGAGGTAGGCTCATGAGTAGATTTAAAGAGACAGAGACAAAAAAATGAAGTTACTTGATGATTTAATTTTGAGAGTCCTATTCATTCAACATAGCAGTTACATTGACAACATCAATCAATTTTGGCCAATTTCAGCAAAAAGGAACTTATTAAAGGAATTGGATAGCTAACACAATCAAGGGAAGAAATTTTTTCTCTTTCTCTCTCTCTCTTTTTTTTTTTTTTTTGAGTAAGCACTCCGAATCAGATTTCTGGAACACAGTTCCAGGGGTATAGAAATTAGGAATATCTTGATATCAGAAAGGCTGAATTTTGATGGTTTTCTGTCATGAGTCATTCTGTTTAAACTTCAGATTCCAAGGGAAAATGTGAGATTGGTCTCTCTTGGGCCTCGTGCCCATCCTCTGCCCAGTGGGGAGTGGGAGCAGTTCCACTGATTGAGAATTGTGCCAAGATTGTATGGGATGGTGGAGATGTCTACTCCTTAAAAGAAAACAGAAACATTTATCAAAAGAACAGGGGGAAGGGCTGCTGGACAAGCAGATGCCCTTTAATAATAATAGGAGACACTTGTATAGGACTTACCTTGTAACAGGCATTGTTTTGATCATTTTATACATGGTGGCTTATTTAATTTCACCTCTCTGTGAGGTGGGTTCTAGTACCATCCCCTTTTATAGATGAGGAAGGGGATTGACATGCCTATTGTGCCACACAAACACACAAGTGAACCCCAGCAGTCTGGCTCTAATGTCAGTGCTTACCATTACTCTGTGCTGTCTCCTCAGAAGCCTAAGATAATTACCAGAAAACCAAGTGAGCACCCCAGAGAAGTCTGCAAGAAGAGAGAAGAGTTGAATCCAGCATTAATGAGCAGGGACGAAGAAAATTCCAACAAGTGTAGAAAGACAAATGTAAAGAATCTCTTAGATCTACAAGTTATATTGCGATGATGACTAATTTATTTAACCTTGACTTTTCAGCACTCATTCTACCCTAAGCTTAGTCCAAGGCTTGAACCAAACCAACCTTAGAATCTCATTTTCCTTGCCATTGGTAACTTTAGAAATGAGAAGGTGACAAGAAAGTCTTTTTAGGGCTCCTTGATCAGGTTTCTTTGCTTCTGAAGAGACTCAAGAAAGAGACATGCTTTCCCCTCTTCCTCATCCTCCTCCCCAACGTGCAGGACTCTGATGTAGGTCTTGAAACTGCTGGGGCAGTCTGCTTACAACCTGAAGTTGAAGCTGACACATGGAAGGTGGCATGGCCACAGGTGCCACAGAGGAGAGCAATGATGGGATACTGTGTCTAGGCCTCATATTATGTAGCAGAGAACAGTTCCTTATTGTTTAAGCCAAATGAAGTCTCTGTTTTCTATTACTTGCAACCAAAGACATCCTAACTTATATAATTTCTGTACCTCATTATTTCATATATAAAACGAGGGCATTTGCCTAAATGACTTCTAAGGCTCTTGTTTTTTTTTAATATTTATTTATTTATTCATGATAGAGAGAGAGAGAGAGAGAGAGAGAGAGGGGCAGAGAGGCAGAGACACAGGCAGAATGCCAGGAGCCCGACGTGGGACTTGATCCCGGGACTCCAGGATCGCGCCCTGGGCCAAAAGCAGGCGCTAAACCGCTGAGCCACCCAGGGATCCCCTCTTGGTTTTTAAAATAAAAATTCCTCCTGAGTCCTTGCTGTAACTCAGCTCTGCTTCTGAGTATCTACAACTAAATTCATTCATATATATATCATATATATATACGTATATAATACATATACATATATATGCATATATTATACACACACACACACACACACACACAACCCAGACTTTATTTTCATTGGGTACTTTTTTTTTCATTTAACTGTGAGTGAGTATTGTCATGGAATATGAGCTTTGAGAGCCATCCAGGTGTGAGGGTGTGGTCAGAAATGTCAAAGGCAGTGATGAGTTCTAGAAGGATCTGAATAAAGAAGAAAGCTCTCATGAGAGCAAGTTTGGTGACACAGTAGGAATAGGAATCAGATTGCAGAAGGTAAAGAGATAAGTGGTGAAAAAGTGACAAGCAAATAAAGGTTTCAAGCAATAAATAGAAAAATTAGGAAGTTTCTTTATAATTGCTTATAATACTGAGAGAATTGTGCTAATCAATTTCTCTGGAAAAGAGGAATTGAAATAGATTACAGCTTTTGTAGTATAAACTATACTTCCATCAGGGTAATAACCACTACTACCTCCTACACCACTCCTAAACTTCTCAGGGAAAGGAGTGTAAGAATAAAAAAGTTAGTACTAAAATGAAAACAGATGGGTGCTTGGCACTAAACAATGTGCCTGCTGGGATAATCTTTAGAAAGCAAGTCTCTAACTATGATATAATCTTTGATAACCAAAATTTACTGCTAATAGAATTTTTACAAAAGACTGTTTATAATCCTAGCAATTAAAGTTACTGCCCATGCAAATGAGAAATTGATAACTTAAATGCATCATAACTTGGCTTTCCAGTCCTTGTCCATTGGCCCCTGGATTACCTGGAATCTTTTGTTCAAGAAGGAGGCAGAACCTTTACTGTTCTTATGTTTCCTTCTGTTGAAGTGGGTTTCTATTCTCTGCCCCAGCTTCACTCTCCCTGACCAATCACTCTTTTAGTTCCTCAAGTATCCTGCACCTGATGCCCCAGCTGCATTTGCTACATCTGGCTTGCTGCCCCTTGGCTCTGGCTTAACTCAGCACCCACTTTGCTGCTGGTTCTGCTTGGTTCAGTGACCACCTCTCCCAAAGATGCCCATAGGCTTCAGGTGTTTCTTCCATGTTAGCACTTCCTATTTCC